GGAGGAACAGGTTTAAATGGGGTCCAGCCTCCCTGCAGATCCTCTTCCACGCCTACGAGCGACAGAAGAACCCCAGCAAGGAGGAGAGAGAGGGGTTAGTGGAGGATTGTAACAGGTGAGCCTTAGTGATGGTACAAGGACAAATCAGGATTATTCAAATATATCTGATTTTTTTTAATAGTTTTGATGCTTCACCCAACAAGACCAAAAAAACGAGCGAGGCCAGCCTTGAAATATGATTATTAAACCCACTTAAAGCCTGACATCTGATCAATTCCTTTCAAACAATAGATATAAGGACTGAATTAGCCACAATCCAAGTTTATGCCATTTATATATACTTTTTTTTTTAAATCTTATGAGTATAATTCTTGTATTGTTTTTGCACATGTATGGTTACAGACCTTCTCTTTACCTTCTCAAGTATTTTGAGTGCAAATCATTTACCATTAACAAACAAAACAAAACCCACAATAACAAAGTTAAATAGATTTCATTAAATGCATTGTTATTTAATGTATTTGAAGTCGACATCATCATTAAATTGTTTTTGTGAATTCCCTAGGCCACAATAATTGGTAGCATAGTGTGCACTGGACCAAAGGAAAGGAGATAATGCCTTCCTATTTATTAAGGCAGCAACCCTTCACCATCCATTTGTTGATACATAGAAATAAACCCTCTTTCTTAAGAGGTGTGATTCTGTTCTGGAGAGGAATCCTTACTTTAATTGAAAAGCATTGAGTTTATTACTGTAATAATTTTCTATGTGTAGAAAATAAAGTCAATAAGACAAATATTTCTTTCTAGGGGAGAGTGGTCATTTTCTTGTACTTCTCTAACGTAGGCCTGCCTTCAAAATAAAAGCCATGTAACAGTGTGCTGTGCTTCCCTCAGGGCAGAGTGCCATCAGAGGGGGGTGTCGTCCTCGCAGCTCGCCGGCCTGGGCTCTAACCTGGTCACCGAGGTCCGAGTGTACAACTGGTTCGCAAACCGCCGCAAAGAGGAGGCCTTTCGCAACAAACTGGCTCTCGACACACCTTTCCCCAACCAATCTGCCTCCGCCTCTCACCACAACATCCCAAGTCCAGAGCATGGTAACACACTAACAGGGTTTGAAGAGTGTACACATTGAAATTCAAGAGTGAAATCTAAACTGAAAGAGGAAGCAGGATCGAGATTAGACTTGCCTATACAGGATGTATTTTCTTTTTGATCCCATGGTGTACAACCATCAGACCCTTGTAGACATGACTGTACAGGTTCTGGTTCAGATGCTCATATTTCTCAGTTCCCTTATGCTGCCATTTGCAAATCAATCAATGCAGTGGTGGAAGAAGTGCTCAGATATTATATTTTAGGAAAAGCCTTAAGAACACAGTCTGGAAATACTGTTACGTATTATGTAAAAACCTTAAATATGCTCAAGTACAACGTATCATCATCTACCATTTAACAACATTTTATTAATTAATAGCCCTTCATATATGAAGGGCTATTAATTCATTATTATTATTATTAAGCGTATGTTTTGATTCGTTTTTTATTCAAATCTAAATCTGCAAGGAACTAGGGACTAATGTTTCCATATTAACTTAGTAAAATATTTGCCACCTAATTGTAGCGCTCAAACAGGAAATACTCATTACTTGAGTAAATGCGCTTACTTACATTATAATATAACCCCTGTCAGTGTTGTGGGGCCTGACTTCTTGTTTTCCAGGTATGAAATACAGCCAGCAGATCCTGTGTGACGCGATGAGCTCTGCGCGGGGGAGCGTGGGGGAGATAGTGGGACGTCTGGTGGTCAGCCCTGTACAACTGGAGCCCAGCCACACACTCCTGGAGACGCACAACCCCAAACTGGTGAGGGCTGGTGTCCAGGTGCTAGTTTAGATAGTAAACTACCTGTATACACTGCTGCCATCCTGACAACGCTGTCCTCTGCCCTCAGGTGTCCAGCGGAGGCCCTCTGCCTCCTGTAAGCACTCTGACCTCACTGCACAGCCTGTCTGCCTCCACTGCTTCCTCTCAGGGCCTCATCATGGCCTCACTGCCCAGCGTCATGAGCCTGGGGGAGTCCTCGCTTCTCATTGGTAACATTGGAGCTCTAGTTTACAGCGATGCAAGATATTACATTTTTGCTAACACTTGGCTTCAATTGCCTTTGCATTTAATGATGCCTTCTCCAAATGAGTATTAATGCTTTACATTCAGATGCTTAAAGGTGGGGTAGGTAAGTTTGAGAAACCGGCTTGAAATACACTTTTTGTTATATTCCATGGAATGCTCTTAACATCCCGATAGCAATGAATATCTTAAGTGCTTTGACAAAAAATCCATAAAAAAATGTCATCTGTGGAAGCCGTAATACTGTAAAAAGCACGACCAATCATTTTAGCCGGCCCAGCTAAAATAACTGGATGGCCTACCTGCCTGTCAGCCTTCCATCTGTGCACAAACTTATCTCGTGCCCTCATTGGTCATGTGCGCGTTCGTGTGTGTTGGAGGAGGGGCTCTGTAAGGAAGTGGCAGATTTTTTCCAGCTGTGTATTTTCAAATTTTAGCGCACTCGAGCTGGTTTCTCCAAAATTACCTACCCCACCTTTAAACTAAATAATATATTAACTTTGATTAATGAATATAAAAAATAGGAACCCCTGGCGTAACAAAACAACGTAAAAGTAGGATTAATCTGAACTACACTCAGACCTCGATTTATACACAATGTTTTTCTATAAGGTCAAATTGGTTATCAAATAGTAGTTGACAGCTTATCGACAGCTATTGGCAAAATGTCAGATAATGGGATCGCAGAGCAAAAAAAAGCACAATGCAACAAAACAAAAATAAGATCTACAGAAGTAAACCCCTAAATTGACTGATATTTTAAGAATTATAGTAAAGGCTGCCCTGATGTGTGTATATGCCATTGTTCGCTGAATGTGTAGGGGTGGGGGTAACAGTAAGGGAGGCCCCACACAAATTGACTAGGTGCTGCTGACCACCTGAATCCACACCTGGCTGCACTTTTATGACTCCCAAACAAACTTGTAACATTCAGACGATGTGAAAACACCAAAGTCGCTTCAGTCCTAGAAAAAACCCTAATTTTAAGTCCAATGAAAGAGCCCGATGAACTGATAGGCCTGACTATAAATCAGACTTAAATATGAGGTATATTTTTCCACACTGCAGATGTATTTTCCATTGAATGCACATAATAAAAGTGTCATTTTCTTTTCTTTATCGTGTAACCTATATTTAATTGTAGGCCTTTAACAGCATATACCAATGACATGACAATATCATCATGCACCTCTAAAAAAAAAAACTGAAAACAGTGCATTTGGATTCACAGGTTTAGCCTCTGGGCAGCCCAAGAGCATGCCTGTTATCAACAACGTGGGGGGCGGGTTCACCACTCTCCAGCCAATCTCGTTCCAGCAGCAGCTTCACGGCTCTCCCCAGCAGCACATATCACACCAGCTCCAGAGCCACATGGGGGCCAGCCCCTTCATGGCAACCATGGCGCAACTGCCATGCCACAGTAAGATCACAGCAACAATCTGATACGAGTTTATTTGTTATGTTGAGATAAGTTTGACCATGTGATCCTCATTACAGTGTACAACAAGTCCGATTCGCCCCAGTACCACTCAGTACCATCCAGTCTGCTATCCCAAGCCATGGTGATCACTGAGGGCAGCAGCCTGGGGACGCTGACCAGCCTCACTGCTGTCAGACAGGTAACTGAGTCTAGGGGTTCAGGAAGTTTCAAGGGATATTTGTTTTTATTAAATTGGATGAGGTACTTATCTACAGTCAGTGAAGTACCTACAGTGAATGACAGTCAGGACATTCCAAGTTTGGAGAAACTGAAAGAAGATATTGCTTGGAAGTTAAAGCAATGTTCTTCTGTGGAGGGAGGAAGCAGCAAAATAAAGGCGCATCTAAACAAATAAATGTATCAGTTTACCTAAACGCTATATATAGAATATTTGTACCGCCTGAACCTATTGTTAGACAGCCATTTCCGTCAGGGAACTGAAGCTGACCATCTATGCTCTCCTCAAAGCCACCAGCCTCCATTGACAAAAACAGTCATTTTACCTGGAAAAACACAGGAGACCTCTAGCTGTGTGTTTGTTTGTGTTGTATTGTGTGACTTAAAAGATAGAGGCAGCAGCCAATGAGCAACCCCCATTTTCTGCACGGTAAAATTACTGTTCCCTTAATGGAGTGTTGGTTGTCAAAAAGGATTGATAAGGGCATCACCTAAACTAATATACTTGGTTTTTATAGGTGGCTAAAATGTGTATTGCCGCTACTTGCGTGACGATAGGCTACTGTTGATTTGACACTGATTATAGATAAATACTTCATACAACCTGACTGCAAAGAAGCACGGATAATAATATTTGGGTTAAAATGTGTCTGTTTTTCTTTTCTTTGATAGATTATAACAGCAGATCCTGAGGAACTTACAGACTCTCCTTTACAAGAAGACTCTCTACATATGCAGCCACAAACACCTGTGCCAGGTACACAACAAGGTTACTCCTTAACATTTGGACACATTTTGAGTCACTTTTAGCATGACACAATCAAGCTGGGCTTAATCTGATTAGATCAATTGGAGAACATTTAATAATGTCTGACTTTGAACTCAGTTACATTTGTTCACATATGGCCCTAATCCTCTTCCATGATTTTAAGCGGAGTTAAACAACATTTCTATCTATTTATTTTGTTAACAGCTTCATCCGAGAGCCTAGAGCTGTATCCTGCTTCTCAGACGACAGAAAGTCATCAGTCTCTCCTCCTCTCACCTTCACCAACAGACATCAGCTCCTACATCCCTACACAAATGGTCTCCACTGCGCAGTAGAAGTGCTGCAGCGAGACAGTGTTTTAGGTAGAGGGCTACCTCTGCTGTACATTTCCAGAAAAATACCTGGAGTCAGGGGCCACAGGGACGATTCAGTTTTGATGTTTTTAAAGACTCTCCGAAACCACTGTAATACGAACAAGGATTGACATTAGAGAAGATTAACCTTTGATACAACAATCAACAGAAAAATCAACACCGAAATGTATTTTCATTGAAGTGTATAGTGACTTTCATAATTTGTAAATTAAGTTGTAACTTGTAAATTGCGTGTTGCCTGCATTTTTTTTATGTCACTGCTTTGAAATGCTTTTTCAGACTTCTTTCAGTAAAATAAAGATTATTTCAAGAATAAGCATGGATTGGTATGAAAAGATTTTTTAATGAAAAATGTTTTTTTGTTCAGATACAGTTTTACTGTTGTGTAAATGATGAATGTTCTTAAACACACAGCTTCCAAAAACATATTCAAAATGTTTTGGGATATATATTTCAAGCTTGTGAGGGACTGGATAACGAACATCTCAAAACAGTGAAGGATAAGTCAAAAGAAATTCACATCATACTTCTTCCTCTGTGTGTCGCTTCTTTTTCTTTTTCCGCTTCACTTTGACCTGCGTGTGTTCCTGCTCAGAGTTCCCGTGCTCATCATTAACAGGAGAACCTGCAGTGTCTACCTGCTCACCCTTCGCTTGTTTCCGTTTCCTCTTTTTCTTCTTCTTCTTAACAACATGGTTCTCCTTTTCCTCTACCCCGTTTTTCTTTTCCTTTATATTTTCTGAGCAGGGAAGCTCAGATGAGGGGGTGGAGAGTGTAGAGGGCAGCGAAAAAGAGGGCAAGAGATCTTTGATAGACACTGCCGCCTCCCTCAGCCTCATTTCCATCTCACTGTCAGTGTCACTGTCACCAACAGAGAAATATATGAGTTACAGGGATAGTTAGGATGTTTTTAAGTGAGGTTGTATAAGGTGCTTGTTTATAGTCAGTGTATCTGCTACAGTAGACGGAGGTTGGCAAGTCCCCAGTTTGGGGAGCAGGGAGAAATTCCGGCATGTAAAATATATATTTGAGACAGGAACTGACCAGAGTCAACAAACTGTATTTTTAACAAGCGAAAAAAGGCGGTTATTGGTCTAATGCTACCTTGTTCTATTTGTTTGTTGGTGTTAAAAGCCTCACCTAAAAAACTGTTTATGTGTATGCTATATTGACAATAATGTTCCTTGCCGTCAGACAACCATTCCTGAAGATGCTACCTATGCTCTCTTCAAAGATATCAGACTCCAGACTTTTAAATCATCTAAGTGAGGCTTTTTTATTAGTAGGCTAAAATACGTGTTGTTTCAGCAGTACATTGCTATGGCTCTGTGCAGTCACTCACGCTCGTTTCTCCAAACCGTGGGCGTGCCAACATCAATGTACAGTAGGTAATACACCGACTTTAGATAAGTCCCTTATACAAAGTCACAAAACTAAACCTTTAAGGACTATACAAATAAATGACATTTTAAAATGTAATAAGAACCTTGAGCTGGAGATAGGCCGCCGCCTCACAGGGGCTGGGGCTTCTACAGCTGCCTGTCCCGGGACTGATGTAGAAAACAGAAGAAATCCTAAAAAAGGAAAGAAACAAAATAAAACATATGGATGGGCATGCATTTAAAAATAGCAGTATACCCTGAAAAGCAGTAGGTACCAAAATAAAGAGAAAATGTACCCTCATCATCATCATCATTATCACATTTTGCTGACTCCGCACAAGATTCAGTTTCAGTCTTCATCTCTGTAAAGCGACTGAAAGGAAAGGGGACAATATATGTTAAGTTTTCAAATATATGGATCTTTGCCTCACATTAATATGAAAATGACAAGAAGTCAAACTACATACCTGTCGAGAAGATTTCCTAACTTTTTGGCGACGTGTGTTCGAAACCCTTGGGTGACCTGGAGCTCGTTGCCATCGTGATCATGGTCAGCGACAACAATTCTGTTGCACAACAAGACAATATTCAAACTTACTTGATTTATGATTATTGATTGATTGAATATTTTGTATGAAATTCTGTCATTGGACCATTCACTAAAGAGAAACCGCATATGTCCAAAATTAAGTTTTGTAATTTAACCAGAAAATCATTGTTTATTAGGCTGGTAAGTTATGCAAATCCCCCAGTCCTTTTTATATATCAAGAGCATTTGGTTGGTAAATGGTGCTAATTGTTTGCCCTGGTTGTACGTTTATAATAATAGCTATAGCTGGGACATTTGGAGTATTTAACCTTAATAGCTGAAGTCGAGATAAACAATCCAATACACTAGCTCTTATAACTTAAATGTATGTATAAAAGGCTTACCGTTTTGACTGTTGCACATTGCCCCCATCTAAAACACAGATAGCAGCAGTCATCATCAGGTAACATGCATTTAATAAATACTGTGTCTACATTAGCGCTGAAGGTTAAAACAAGCATGCTGCAAGAAGTTAAAGCAAGTTAATGAGTAGTGAAGTGCAATAAAAATATATAAAATGACTACCACCTCTGTATTTAAATCAGAGGTGGATATCTCATCAGGCTAATGTCGTATTCCTACAGGAGTTTTCTCTCTGTCCACTTCGCCTCTCACTACTAACATAACAGGAACACCTTTACCTTTCTTCGTGTCACTTCGTGTTTCCCAAACGGCCTCCTGACATCTTCTCAACACTTCATCGTCACTGCTGCTGGAGTCTTCAGAAACACCAACTATCTTCTTAGCGGTGGCCGCCATGCTCAAACACGTGCCGCTGGTGTTTTGAGCTGAGCATTCTGGGTAATGTAGTCTGTTTGTCAAACGGGAACTGTGTTGACAGAAACTGGCTATTTGTGTCTTTAGACTCTTTATACATCACTTTCTTCATACAACTTCGAGAAAACCAACTTTAAAAAAAAAAAAAGTCAAGGCAATTTCTTTATTGTATTTACAGGGACAAAACCACAAGCTGTGCAATAATGTTCATTCCATAAAAAGAATGAAAACAATGTCATACATTTTCCATTTTAAATTTCTGACATTCATTTTAAGACTATTAATTAATATTCATGATTTTTCCAATATATGTAGTTTGTAACAACTTTTACAAATGATACAAGATTTAAGAATGTCAGCATGATTTGCTGTATTTTCCCAAGGTACCAATACAGCTGATTTAATCTAGATAAACAAAGACAAAAGTTTTCCCAAACTCCCTGATAATCTACTTAAAATAAACACCAGCTTTTCAATGTTTTTCAGTCTAATATTTTTATTTACAATAAATTTGAATGAACATGAGTTTATCACTTGTAAAATTAGACAATATAAAAGGAGGGGTCTATGCAACGGGTTACAAATATGATCCATACATTGATCCAGACAGTCTAGTAACACAAATTGGACCCTCTTCTCAAGGCATTTTCATTTTCCGATTTTACAACAAAATACCGCCGACCGATACTGTTTGGCATAGCAACACCAGTGCTGCTAACCAGCAGACCAACTGAGATACATCCATTGAGTCCAATTGTCAAATAAATTGAGGTGGTATTGGGTCATTGAGTAAAAGCTTCAGCTGTTTAAAGTGTGTGCCTGATATAACACTTGTTTGAGTTATTAATGGTCTACATCATGAGTTGTCACTGATGCTTCAAACATTAAAATCCCAAAGATAAAATAAGATTATACAAAATGACTCAACGCAGGCTGTAAGACACCTGTTTTACAAAAGGCAGTACTGCAAGACGTCGGTGATGAATTATCTTTCCTTCAGCTTAATGACGTTTTTGCCTTACAGGTGGATGATGTACAACGTTTCCTTACACAATAAACAACTTAACAATGAACACCTGGATATAAGGCACATGGAGTCATGTTACAAAGTACAGTGAGAGGATCTTTTGGGTTTTGGAAATTACTTCCAGACTGTTCCAGTGGTTTTGCATGATTTAAATACATTGCATAATGGAATTAAAGCAATGCTGACCATTTGCCAGATGTTATTTTCTGCATTTCAGACAGCCACTAATACGCTTGACTGTCTGTACCGAAAGAAAAGAAAAAAATTGAACCAGCTAATCAAAGCAATATTTTCTTACATTTAGAAAATAATTAACAAGTAATGGTAAATTGCAGCTCTAATTGCAAATTAAAACTGTCGTAACTAATAGACATTCAACATTTGTAGTGAATGGCCAACAATATGCAAAACCACCGGTATCGTCCTTAAAACAGGTCTACTACTGTGTCTGTCCTGCTGCCTTATTAAAAAAAAAAAAGATCAACTACCAAGGAACATCACTCTGTATTGTCCTGCTTTGTGCTTTATGTCATTAGTAGATTGAGAACCTGAGCTCAAAGCAGCAGAAGATACACACAGCGACCCGTTTAAAAGGTATAACACACTGCTAGACAAATTCTGCTCAAAAAGAGTTGGATTTGTAGTATACTATTGTGCCAAATAAACCAGGAAGACAGACATCAAAGTTATTAAAAACGTGTGCTTTGTGGAGTACAATAATGTGGGAAGACTAAACTCACAGATTAATTAATTAAATGTATTATGTCAACAGGTTCCACATAATTGTATTAGGTAAGTTTAAAGCAATAGTATTAAGTTGAAGCTATTATTTAGTATTAAACTTAATATTATATAACACAATTATGTGTAATTTGTTTACAATTTACCGTTTCAAACTGTTTTCAGTGCTGTTTTAGCAATGGATGGCATGTAAAGCAAGTCTAATAACTCTCAAATAGGTTGATATCTTTACCTTTTTGTGTTTTCAAGTGTGCAGAGTTTGATATAACAAATACTAGATTCCCAACTGACAGCGAATTATGTCACGAAAAGTTTAACAGATTTTAGCAGGGTAAATATTGCACCTAACATTATGAAAGAGCTCATGCTTATCTTCAACAAAAAGAAACCTCTACTTAAGACGAGATTGGTCAACCTAATGTACCTCGTAAAATTAACACCTACCTTAAATATCTGACCTAAACAGTCCAGATGGCTCACAACTGATAGGAGATATTTAAGCAAGAAAGAAACTCAAACAATGTCACCTAGTGCTACATAATCATCCTTGACTAACAATACTGTAAAACGTCTAGTTAATGCTCGTTCTTCCATATGGGAAACACAATTGTCACTAGCGAAAGGTAGTTCAAATAAACATCAACTGATAACATCTATATACTAAAGCAAATGGAGTTATAACTGACACAACCTATAGGCTTTTCCATGAGAGGTCTGTGATTCAAAGTGTCCCTTTCCAGCAGAGACGGCAAGAAACTTAAGGCAAAAATGTTACATGATATTTGAATGACAAACCAAAAGACAGAGCAAAGAGTCAGATTTGACAAACAAACATATTTGACAGAACATTCCTCGGAGTCCCAGAAGCTGAGGTCAATGAGGTACTGATGAATGGATCCATGATTTTGTACGGAGGCAGATGTGGTCCATTGTGAAGAATGTTGTCACGTTTGGAGGAATGTTCACAAAGAGAATATGACTTCTGCCCCCCCCCCCCAAAGAAAGCTTTTGGATGGTTGTAATGCGATGAAAGCAATCCCCCTCTGAATATCGCAAATATTTCTCCCCTTCAGGTATTACAGACCGCCGTTGTAGGCATAGTCCGCCTTGTTGTGCATGATGAGTTTGTTGTCCACAAAGTAGAAACTGTCCGATCTGGTCTCGTAAGGGTGTGCCACCATGAGGCGAACTGACAGGGAGAGAAGGAAGAAAAATATTTCAACAAAGATCAAGATATGAACTATAAGGTATAAATATGTATACAGTACACTGTTCCAGATGTATGATAATTGTCATAAGATCATTTTGCACCCTGCACAATGTGAGACCATCCGTCTGCCAACAAAGCCTTACAGATAATTTAATTATTCCACCATTTGTGACACTTACAATTAGTACCGTAGTTGGTTTGAGTCTGTAATGTCCTATTTTAATTCATTTCCTGGGAGCAAAGTATGGATCCTACGGCTGTGTTTACGCATCTCTTCTCCTGTCGCTCATTTTAAGAAAATGTGCATTGGAGATAACTTAGAATCTACCCGGGAACCCAGTTATTTATTTTTTATGAATTTAGCTTATGGCCTTAAATGAAGGCAGTAACAGAAAACTGGCTTCCAGTCGTGCAGCATGCCGAAAAGTCTTTTAACTATGTATTTTTATAAATTTCACTCTCAAGGTTATGACTCAGGTTTGATAATTATGATAATTTTAGGATTGATAGCTAAGCATTTCCAATATGGCAACGCTTCCATGCCTGCAACAGCATTAACATTATTGGCTGAGGAAAAATAAACTCACTGAGGTCGTCTGGAAGCTGTGGAAACTCATAAATGTGTTCACATGTGTTGCGGCTGTTGGGAATGCAGAAGCCAAAGTCAAAGTCAAAGTTCTTTAGGAGGCGTCCCTGGAAGTAATGCCTCTCAATCATACGGAAGCTGTTAATTGGCCGGTCTCCCACGGTGAACTCCACACTGAGGTTTAGAAACAGAAACAAGAAAGACAACATTCACAATTAAGTTTTGCACTTTAAAGTCTGATTATTATGCATGCAGCTATTACAATTCAGAGCGTTATGGTTAATTGACTTACGTTGCACCAACAGTGCACAGTTTCAGGAAGGCCGGTGTAAACTGATATCGCACAAAACGCCCCGCGCTGGTGTCTACATCCCCACTCTCCTCTTCACCGTCCAGAGGACCTAAAACAGAAAACATGTTAAGCTGTCCTACATGAAATAATCACAGGATAGGCAACAAAACTAGGAGAAAATATGTGGTCATGCAGATTATACACTATTATTATCTGTGATGTGCAAGAGCAATGTCAAAAGATTTCAATCAAGAAGACACACTGATGATTCCCAAATATTTTCTAAAATCTACATTTTTTTTAAATGAATGCGTTAACTTAATAGTAAAAATAATGCAATTGAAATATGTTGAAATATTTAGGAGGTAAAACCGACCCAGGAGGAGCATATGACAATGGGGTAAGATCTATATACAAAGCAGATTGTATGGAAAGACTGCAGTACTCATGCTTGGTTATACTGTGCTTTACTGACAGGACAACACCTCTGGGCTATAACTGAGCACAATCACTGTGTCTGTATCTACAGTACAGTCAATGGTCATACACATGTTTCTCCCTAATGGTCCTTTTAGCAAGGGCTAGCTTTCCAGTGACAATCAATAACTATACAAAAGTTTGGCTGCATAAGAATCATGTTGAGTGAAACACATCTCCATGAACAAGACTGTGTGAGTTTTGTGAATGGTTGCATCTTCAAGAGGCAGATGTAAATGTGTCACTTACCACTGTTAGGAGGTTTGGCAATCTCAAACAGCACCGTTCCCGTTTCCAGGTCTCGGATTTTGAAACGTGTGAAGTCAATGCTGTAGATATTGTCTTCAGGTTTGCACAGATAGTCTGGAATATGAAATAAAAGAGTGACTTCAGAGAAAGACATTCAGTAGAGGAGTTCAATAGGCTTATAGGGAGCAAGCAACCATTAGTAAGGCTTTTTGTTAGATTCATCGTTTAAGTCTCTTAAAATATAAAAAGAAAGTAAAAAAAGTCCATCTTAGTTTCTTGAGTTCAGAGGTTATGTCTTGAAATGTCTTATTTTGCCAGTCCAAAAACAAAAATATCCACTTTAATATGATATCATGACATCTCGATTTTTAAAAGGCTAAAAACAGGTGTATTTGCTTTTTTTTCTTTAAAAGTTAACCTATTATTAAAGAACTTGGTGATTATTTTCTAACAAAGGACCAGCAGACCTATAGTTTCAGAACTACACCCTAGCAAACAGAGGCAATTATTTGATATTTAATTAGCTTTACTAATACCTACATCAGGAATTTTGAGGCAAGTCACAAAGCTTTGATCCACAAAGGTTCGCCCTTACTTTGACAATAGAGCCAGCACTCAAGGAAAAACTAGGGTCTGAGTATCTTTTTTTTGGTTCCTACACCTTGCAGTGGTGGTGAATAATTCCACTGCGCAGGCTCACGGCTATTCAGTCAAGTCTTGTGAGAAAGAAGGGAAGTAATGCCATTGTTGTCTGGTCCGGGGAAAAGGCTAAAAACAATGGAAGGCGTTAAGCATTAGCTGCAACTTTGGTAGTCTGGGTTTCCAATACCAAACACTGGTGTTTGACTCGTAGTGCATTTACTCGTGTGTGGAAGAAAGTGACTGTTCAAGGAGATTAAAAGGCAAAAACATCAGAATCCATAACTTAAATCTGCACTAGTGACCAAAAAACATAGCTTTTAGTGAATACACCTGCATTTGTTGTTTAGAAAGAAGAATGCGTGCGAATTAATTTGATTTGTTGTTGTATTTTTAAACATGAGCCATGACTACTTCACATGACAGTAGTTTGCATCAGTTTATCTTTTCCAGTTAGCTAAAGAAATCCTTAAATACAGCTTTAAGGACAGGGGGCTCTGAACAAATCCCTTCTGGGGGGCTCCAAATTCCTTGCTACGCCCTTGGAAACCTCCTACTTTGTTGGTTATCAACAAATAGGAAAGATGCACAGCACAACACAAAACATAGTTAACTTAGACATAAAGTAACCTGTGTGACAAATTAACTAACTAACAATGTGATTCAGGAAATGAGTGGACTAAGAAGTCAACAGGTCTGACTCTTCACTTAGCCACCGTTAGCATAGGGTAAAATAGTACCAGTACAGCAGTGTTATTTTACAGGCTTTAACTAAGACAATGCTTTCATAACTCACCCTCCGTGACTGCCCGGAGACCCAGGACATTGTCTGGGGTAATATCTTTCCCCATAGCCCGCAGTTCATCCTCGGTGACCACAGGCCACTTGTCCGGCTGATTGCGCCTTGACTTCAGCTTCTTCAGCATTCCTCCACCGCTCTTTCTCTCCCTCGCCTCCGAGCCGGGTTCTGTCTCCGTCTGACTCTTACTGACTGTCGGTGCCGGTTTGTTTCGTGAACCGTTCATAACGGACACTAACGCTGCGAAAAAAATAGTTGTTGTGGTTTCTCCTTTTTTTTGTTTGAGAGCGACTTAACAAACTGCTGGTGTGTTTTCAAGATGGCGTATAACGTGTTTGAGAGACAAAAACGTAAGGTTTTGATTGGCTGAGAAGGACGGAGATTGTCATAGTTACCGAAAGGGTGCGAACTGTTTAAAGACCGGGACGTCCCGTTTCTTGGTTTAATGGATTGTATTCATAGGCGTCATTTTTTTTGTGTCCCTCGGAGGTGGTGTCCCCTTTAGGCTGGCAAGGACACAAAATCTCTCAAAACATGAAAACTCACAAAGATCATTAAATATTATGTATTTTATTATTATTATTATTTCATTTTTTTTATTGCAATTTTATTATTTAAATTGTTATTTAAATGTTTTTTTTTTTTAATGTTTTTTAAACCATTATCTAAATGTTTTAAATATGTTTTTATTTTCATATTATTATTTGTATTTGATTATTTTAAATTATTATTGTATTAGTATTATTATAATTTTAATTGTATGGGCCATTTAGTTTTAGTAAATAACATTTCCTTAAGGTTGTTATGATTGTATTATGTATTTAATCATTCTTTTTATTTGATTCTTTTTTTTATATTCATTATTTTCGTATTATTATTTTATTTGTTTATTTTATTATTATTTTATTATTATTATTAATTTTTTTGGGCAATTTCTTTTCAGGTCCCTCGGAGGTGTGGGGGGAGGGGCGTCTCCCACTTCACTTTGCCATGCTGGGAGGCAAACCACCAACCCTCTGGTTGCTAGGCATCCATTTACCCCTTCAGCCAAAGAAAAGGCACCAGTACATATTCCAGTCAAATTTGACAGGATTGGCTTCTACGTTTATTAGGGTTACAAGGCGACACAAAGATATTGTTAAAGAACATTGTTTGAACTCATCGCCAGTAGTAACCATCAATTTTTCACATCTGTTCCAGAAAAACCCAAGGCTACCAGGACGTGTGGGGAAAAAAACTGGACTTAAGCCTCTGTTTCTTTCTAACTTTACCAAAACTTCAGGGTTTATTTCCCATTTAAAAAAAACTCCATTCTAACAACAATTCGTAATTTCTGAACAACAGCCCATAATTAGGCTGTGGCTGAGAGGAAGAGCTGTTGTCTTTGAGTCAGAAGGTGGTGGGTTCAATCCCAGAAATGCAATTCTCATGTTGATTTATAGTGTGTATTGTGCTGCTTGTTAGATGTGTGCGTGTTCTCACTGCTAGTGGAGATGACCTGTTAGAAATCCCATCCCTTACACTCCTGTTAATGAGTTTTAGGTAGTAGAAAAACCTTTAATAGCAACACAATTTTTGACGCTAATAAACATTTATATCTGGCTCTTGATGGCTCTGGAGTGAAGTGTATTTCTTACGCCAAATACATCAATCAAAGTCAATCAAAGTTTATTTATTCAGCCCAATATCACAAATTATACTTTTGTCTCAGGGGGCTTTACAGTTTATACAGAACATGAATACGCCAGAAATTCCCGGTGCTGTAAGCTTTGAAAATATTTATTGAAGAGAGAAAAGTCATGGTGTGGTGTCTCTCCTTGCACTGTGTACAACTTGACACAACGCTTCCAAATAAAAGTGGGACTGGTCAGAGGAAGTGAAATAAAATATGATAGAAACTCAAAGACTTAAAGACACCTGCACTTGTTGACATTTTCAGAGCAATTGAAAGTACATTTGTTACAAATGTTGTCGTATCCACAGAATACAAGGCTGCAAAGCAAAACAACATTTTGTGAAACACACAAATTCCCTCCAAATCACATCACAGCAAGACTTATAGTTGGGAGTTCATTATTTTAAAAACACATTGGTGGTCCAGAGGTCTATGCATTGGTTCTTCATGCAGGTGCTTGAGGTTCAACACGGGAGGGACATACTTTGTCTTCTGCTATGCTGATGTTAAATCTGGAGAAATTGTCCCCACCACTTTTTCTAACAAAATGACCCCGTTGGTTGCATTGTGAGCAGAGGTGGAAGAAGTATTTAGATATTTTACTTTGGAAAAAGTATTAATACTTACTTGTAAAAATACTCTGTTACAAGTGAAGGTCCTACATTTAAAGTCTTACTCATGTAAAAGTACAAAAGTATTGGCATCAAAATATACTTAAAGTAAGTAGAAGTATTGGTTGTGAATAAAGGCTATTTTCACAATCATATATGTGAAATGACTGGCGTAAAAGTAACAATACATTCATGTCAAAATACTCCATAACAAGTAAAAGTTCTACATTCTTAAATAAAAGTACTAAATCTGCAGAGAAAGGTCCTCCATATGTGATGACTAAATATATACCGTATATATATAGACATATAAACAGTATGTCTAATAATATACAGTATATTATCAGTTATTCCACTAGTTTAATTTTAGAGATGCAGTATATAAAAAGTGTATAATAATAATACATTTTATTTATAAAGGCGCCTTTCAAGGCTCTCAAGGTCGTATCTTTATACATGCAACATCTGAAAAGTCACTAAAGCTGCTTAATAAAAGTAGTGGAGTAAAAGTATAAACTTGCGTTAAACTAAAATAAATAAAGTACACGAAATATTCCCATTAGAAAGTGTGTTGATGAATAGACACATCTGAAATCGTGCGGCCCAGTGTCTATTATCAAGTACACCCAGCATCGCCTCTAACCTCCAGCACGTGGCGCTCTAGTGCAAGCTGGTGGTAGATCGTTTTGTTGACGGAAGTTCGCCACGGAAGAAGAGAGGAACCGTCATGGTTCGTGTCAAGTCCAGGTAGAACGTGCTGTTCATTTACCATTGTAACACTTTTGATGTGCTCTCAATCCCCTTTCTGACGGGTTGTCTTCTGCCTGCAGGTATTTACTGTGCGAAATCAACGTGACAGACAGGACCCGCCTGTTGCTGCTGGATGACCGAGCTGTGGCAGCGGCAGTGAGGGCAGCAGTGGCCCGCATGCACGGAGACTATGGGACGGCTCTCTGCAGCATCAGATTCTCTGGTAAGGGTTTTAAAATCTTTACTTTTTAAAAAACATTACCCGAGGTGGGACAAGTACTCAGATCTTGTACTTCAGTAAAAGTACCAAAGAGCAGGAATACTCTGTTACAAGTAAAAGTCATGCATTCAAAATGTTACTCAAATGAAAGCACAAAAGTATCAGCATCAACATATGCTTAAAGTACCAGAAATAAGATTACTCATTATGCAGATCGGCTAATTTCAGAATAATAAGTTTTGATTATAAATATTGATGCATTAATGTGTTATCAATGTTGGTAAAGGTCCAGCTAGTTTGAATTACTTTGTAGCCTATACTGCAGGATAGCTTGTGAGTTTTAATCCAGGTGTGACTAAAGTATTTTTGAGTGTTGTTTATATATAACATTATTAATCCAAATCTGCAAAGTTACTAAAGGTAAACTTTAGTGGAAGAAAAAGTGTACCTCTGAATTATAGTGGGGTAAAAATACAAAGTAGGCTATTTCAATACTCAACAACTCATGTAAAGAAAGAGTATTTAAAAATTGTACTTAAGTACTGTGCTTAAGTTAATTTACTTAGTTACTTTATACCACACATTATAACACATTAGATGTCCTGCGACATTAAACCAACTTTATACAATGTGTGTGTATTACAGAAAATAGGGTTTGGTGACCAACTCAGTGCTGTATAATTCAAGCAATGATTCCTGTTCAAAACAAAATTGCACAAACTAAGAAATCATTTTACAATTATTCCATCATGCACAATGAACATATTGTACGTTTTTGCATTACAAGTTCTCAGCTTCGTCACTTTTTCTTTGATGTAGAGGAAAACATTGTAGGATATTGTAGCTTTGTGTTGACTGAGCTCTGAGTCTTCTCTGTATTGTATGTCTTTTTAGTGAAATATCTGAATGCTCATACTGGAATAGTATTCCTGCGTTTCCCCAAGAGATGTTACAGACTCCTCTGGTCTGCATTGCCTTTCATCACCTGTATCGAAACTCGTGGGCAGAAAATCCCATGTTTTCTGAACTGTTTGCATGTGGGAGGTAAGTTAAAACATGGACACTCATTTTTATAATGATTAGATATACCTTTATTATATACACTTGTTAATTGTGTTTTGTTTTCCAGGAACAATAAGAACATGTCAGAAGTTTCTGATCCGATACAACACCCAGCAGCTCCATCGAATGATCCCTAAATGTAAAAACGAAGGTACGGGATTTCTTACAATTCTATCTAATGTCATTCATACTGAACTCTGCAATGAGAGTCAGTAGAGGTCCATTTATTTATTTATCTGTTCATGTGATTTTTAACTAATCATCTACTAAAATCGTGATTAACAACGGTGTTGAAAATGAATCTGTTTTACCAGATGTATTGAAGCATTTCACTTCGCTTCATCTGTTGAATTTTTAATTGCACTTTATCAGAGTCTACTGCAATTAACTTCAAGCCATTCAAAATACAAAACTAAAACCTTTATTTGACCGGTTTCCTTTTTTTTCATTTGTAGAAGAAAAACAAGAGATCCAGAAAGCAATTCTGGACTGCACTCTAACAAGAGGAAACAAGGTGGCATTTGAAGATGAATTAGAGAGTGAAAAAGATGACGATGATGAAGAAGAAGAAGAGGAAGAGGAAGAAGAAGAAGAAGAAGAAGAAGAAGAAGAAGAGTGACTTCACTCACTTGCATTTAGAAGGCAGACTATTTTTGTTACGGGACATTTAAGCATTTAAGGAAATGCATACCCACCTCTGTGGAAAAACAGTTCACTGCTGCAGCTGCTCAGCACATTTGATACCCAAGAAAACGGACTGACTGTATGCCTGTCTTCAATAGAGGCACAGAGGTAACCCCTGCAGAGTTTTTGTGTTTTAATTAACTCTTATTACATTTTTGTTATTTATACTATGTTTTGTGCTCAAGTGTTTTTTTTGTATAAATAAAAGCACTGTTTTTGATGATGTTGTATGCTGTCGAAAAAATTATGACATAAAACGAATGGTACAAATATTTTCTGAAGGCTGCACAGACATTTAGATTATTTCGATATTGCATAACCTTTAACAATATTGGCAATACTGCTTCAAACCATGTAAGGAGAATGTTTTTTTTTTTACTCCAACCAGGTAAAAAGTACATTTTGAATGCAGGACCTGTACCCAAGTCCAAATACTTAAACGCTGTGGTATTATTACTCTTACAAGACAAAGGTGGAAGAAGTACTCGGATCTTATACTTTAAGTAAAAGTAGAAAAAACAAAGTGTAAGAATACTCTGTTACAAGTAAAAGTCCTGCTTTAAAAATGTTACTCAAGTAAAAGTACGAAAGTATTCGCATCTTAATATACTTAAAGTACCCGCTATGCAGATTAGCCAATTTCCGAATCATATGTATTTTATGTTTTCATTATAATCTGATGTATGTGTTTATCAAGTTTGTAAAGGTGGACAACATTTAAATTATGTTATTTACTGCTGAGTAGCAGTGTTGATAATATTGTTTATCATTAATCCATATCAGCAAAGAAACTAAAGGAACTAGGTAATGTAGTGGAGTAAAAGTACACAATTAACTTCTGAATTGTAGTGGAGTAGAATTACAACAGCATAATAAGAAATGGAAATACTAAATTAAATTACAAGTACCTCAGAATTGTATTAAAGTACAGTATTTGAGTAAATATACTAAGTTATGTGGCACCAGTGGTTAAATACCTCGTTCATTTCTGCTTTATCTATTTACCCATGTTTGTTTTTTGTACCTACATAGCCGAAACTTTTATAACTACATTCCCCACAATGCTTAGCGGGGCCTGTACTAGACAGCTTTGCAAACTGTATAAGAAACATCCGGGTCTCTCAGGTTTCTATCTGGCGACCCGTCGCCATTAGTAGAAGCTCCCTAACGGATATATTTTTTGGGTGAAAATCTCCCAATTGTTGTGTTTTCCAGCCTTTGGAAAACATCTGCCGCCTTGTTAAGGGCATTTTGTTTCCCTTACCGAGTAAACAACCTAAACTCGGGGGGTGTTGGCCCCGCGTGTTGAGCTTTCGTCCTCTCCACCAGCAACCTCCATAACTTGAGACGCCGAAATCGTGTCTCTTCTTTTTTCTCGGATTGTTTATTGTCAAGATGTCGCCGTAATGGGTTCTCCGCGTTTGACAGAAATGCACCAGGGCCTTCGTCGCCTGACCCGCACTCACTGCAGCCCGCTTTCCCCCTTTGTTTTCCCGTGTGGCGTTAGAGAGCTCGCAGCTCGGCCCCTGTACCGCGGACTTCACGGAGATAAACATGGAGAAAAACCCCAACAGCAGCACCAACAGCAAGGTTCCGCCCCGGTCCAGCTCCACAGGCCCGACACCGGGCGATTCTAAACCCAAAACAGGTGAAAACCCTCCACAATGTTGATGTCACTGGAAGTCTGACATAATATGGACACACTGTGGCCTGCTGGGGCCTAGCAGTAGCGCAGAGATTGTTTATCTGGTGTGGCTGACGTCGCTGTCAAAACATTTGACCCTGTAACAGGCAGAAGAACAGCTAACAGTGTATTTACCTGTTTGTATTCTCCACAGTTGTCGTAAGCATTGATACAGAGACGCTGTCCTTTATCAACTTCTGCATAAATATGTTTACATCCTTACTAACATAGATGTTTAATGAACACATCAACCCGACTATGTGACCGTGCCTGCAGTTTTCTACACGATTAAATAAGTTCATGCAGACTTTTTAAAATCACTTCCATTTCTCATTTAGGTCCTTTTAGTGAAAGTTGTTCCTTGCCTTAAATCAAAATCGTGAACACTCCATCATGAAGCTAGAACATTCATAACAAGAAGGTTTATCTTTGTTACTTTTAATTAAATGGTGTTATATTCTGCAATATACTGTGTGTGGGTTGCCCATAAGCACACTTATTTGTGTGAAAGGGTAAAAAAAGCCTAACTTTTACCCATTACACTAATGATAGTAGTAGATCATTAGGTAAATTGACGCACCTGCATGACGTCAGGTTACAAAGTACCTCAGATTCAATTTTTCTTCCAGCACTTTCTGGTTTCCATCAGCCAAATGAAGATGTTATATTATATCATAATATTAGTGTATTCCTGCCTCTAATGCAATTTAATGTTATTTTTCAGAAAGTAAAAATAATGGAGGCTCCAAGCGCTACAGCCGCAAGCATGAGCCTGCTATTCCAAAAACCGAAAGTTTTCAAGGCCCTCGTCACACCAATTCACAGAAAAGCAAAAGCTTTGACAAGAGACCCGCCCAGAGAGGTGGAGGAAAACAATATGGCGTTGCAGGTGGAGGACGACGTGAGGAGGTTGGTATTCTTAATGACTAAAAAACAACATTTAAGGAGCAAGTCATAAAATAAAACACAGCTCGAACTTGGTTGACAGAATTATATCCACCTCTGCCTCCACAGGTAGCAGAGACCTGCCGGGCAGACTTTAGCCCGGCTCAGTTTGCTGGACCTAAAAAAGTTAGCCTCAACCATCTGCTGAACTTTACCTTTGAACCTCGTGGAGGTTTCGGTGGCATCGGCGAGGGAGGCAACTCTGGTTGGGGCCGCCGAAACAAATGGGGCCAAAAGCACAAGCCCTTCAACAAGGAGCTTTTTCTGCAGGCCAAGTATGTAAAACAAATACACACCTTATTTGCCGATTGGCCAATCCACCTTTGCATTCCTACCTTAAACACTTAGCCTTTGGCATCACCAAATGTTGTGTGTTTCAGTTGCCAGTTCGTGGTGTCTGATGACCAGGACTACAAGGGTCACTTCACTGATCCAGACACTCTGGTCAACTGGGACTGTGTGCAGCAAGTGGTGAGAATATGTCCTCTTTTAAGATGCGTGTATTGGAAATAAAGCCTACATTCATTTATATACTAATGCACGTGATGCCAATCCATTTGTGTTCGTCTACAGCGTATCTACAGTCATGAGGTGCCGTCTTGCCCGATCTGCCTCTACCCCCCTCTGACCGCCCGCATCACCAAGTGCGGACACATCTTCTGCTGGCCGTGCATGCTGCACTACCTCTCTATTGGTGAAAAGAGCTGGTCCAAGTGCCCCATCTGCTATGAGGCAGTAAGCACCGCTGACCTGAAGAGGTAAGTCAATAAAAGCCTTTTAGGCTAACTAAAGCCACCCTCCCACTGGACGAACAAACACTAACAACTGTATTGATTCTTTAATGCAAAAGTTACAATCTGCAATCTGTTGTAGTCACAATTATTAATCGGCTCCAGCTCTGATTGTAAGTGATGGTAGACATGTTAATTTTGCAATGTGACACACGTATTGAATATATAAAAAACAAAATAAAGAGGGATTTGGGAACCTGTATTCATTTATTAAAGGGAAAAACATTCAGTAGATTCGCACTTCTCAAAGCCACCAGTCTCCTTTGACCAAAAGAGTAATTATACCTTGCTGATTGCCATAAAACACCCTCGATTAAACTTTTTAACTTTCCACATTCCAACAATCACCAACTGGTTTGAGAGTTTGAAAGAGGGACTAAGTAAGTGACAGATGTATGAATAGAAGTAATCACTGTATATTATTAACCCTGCGTTCATTGCCGGCCATCATGACATGACACACTTGCTATAAACAGAAAGGCATACTTGTCTAATTGAAATGGTAAGGGAATGTATCGCTTATATTTACCCATGAGCACAAAATATACATATATTCACTCGTATTGGTTATCAGGCAAGAGTAGGAGAGAATACATGAAAAGGGTTAACAAGGACACCAGTGAAGCCTTCCCATTGACGCAGTTTTGATTCTCTTGGTTTAGTTGAATTCTGCGAGAGTGACTTTTAACAATCAGTTTCTTGTTGCAGTGTTGTTGCTATGGAGACCAGGCAGTATGTTGCTGGTGATGTAATCACCATGCGCCTGATGCGGAGAGAGAAGGGGGCTCTGGTGGCCATGCCTAGCTCTCAGTGGGTGAAGGTGGAGGAGCCTGTTCGCTTTGGAGGTGAGAGACGGCCACCTTTTGTTTATGAAGGAGATTTTAATATCCTCAGACAAGTTGGGTTGTATTACTTGAAGTGTAAAATACTCTCCTAAAGGGGATGGTTCTCTTACTTCCTACTCACCGTGCGATGGTGTGTGTTTTCTAGATGTGTGTCTTAGCCCGTACTCCAAGCTGCTGCTGACCTCCCCGACGCAGGTCCTGAGCCTGGTGGCCGAGGAGAAGGCTGCCCTGCAGGCTCAGCTCAGCCAGGAGGGGGACGCCCAGGGCTGCTTCATCCAGAGCGCACTGTGTCTCCTGCAGGTAACTAAACCTGCATGCCTCTCTGACAGGAAACTGTTAAGCAAATGACAGCACATACACAAAAAGTTCCCTGGGTGACATCACTGCATTCAAAATATACAACATGAGCAAAAACACCTCTGATCATAGCAAATAATTATTTTTTTTGCAATGCCGCTTAATATGAAATCAATGTTATTTTCTGTTGCGTGTCTCCAGGTGGAATATGAAACCTTCTTTATGAATCAGAATAAAACCATACATGGATGCAGACAGATATTTGCCTCTTTAATGCTGGCTCCAAACTATAGCATGATTTGGCTTTTTATGAAGTCGCGTTATATTTTCTCTTAGATCCCATATCCCTTGAAACCCCGCTCTAAAATTATTTAGTATGACGTCAAGTGTGCGGTCCTGGGTCCTGGCTGAATTGTCTGATATGCGCATTTTTTTTTAAATGTACGTTTTTATGGTTTAGGAGCGAGAGGAAATGCTGCTGAAGCAGCAGAAGGCACATGTAAGAAACCGGCTTGACCTTTCCTCTCTGACTCTGGAAGACCCTTCTCCTATGGACGAAGTGGTTACTATTTCCAGCATCGCCAAGGTGAGTCTAAAAACAGTCCTTTCAACATTCTTCTTTGACAGCAGTAGTATCTATGAGTAATGGGAAATAATTTTACTTGCATGTTCTTTCTCAACATTGTAGCTTTCTACTTTTATATGGGAATATTCGGGTTCTTCTGTTTAGTAAGAGGTGTCTCTTCCTTCTGTAGCCTGTGCTGCAGTACACCTCTGCATTTGATGACGAGGTTGCAGAGTTTGAGGATGGCGCGGAGGTCTCAGAAGTGCCGGAGGTCCCACAGGAGGCCGAGGAAGAGCTGCCAGGCTTCCCTGAAAGTATTTTGGAGAATGTCCTGGAGGAGCCTCCGGAGGATATGATGGATGAAGCCCCAGAGCCCCAGCCTGAAGAGGAGATCCCCACCAAACAGGCAGATTCAGGCCGTCCTTCCACCAGCGTGGTGCACGGACCCTACTACTATTTTTACCAAGGTGGGTGGTACCCTCAGTACTCAGCCAACATCATGGATCATTTCTGGTTGTTTACTATGAGAAACATTTTCCCTTTTTTAGGACACTGATTTGCAAACTATTTTCTAACATATAAACTTACTGAAGATTTCAGACAAATCCTGCATTTGGTTAATAGAGTGGCGAAGTCCCTCCCCTTCCGGTTGAGCCCCATGGGACCTTATTTCGGAAAAGTTATGCATTGAAGTCAATGGAGAGAGAAAGATTATCTTTCGATCCCGTTTGAATTGTGCCACGAATTACACATATGATGTTTGTCAATTTAAAAGATAATTTTGCAAGTCAAAAAAATTAAAATGTGTCGTAAAACTGTGAAGTAACACATTTGTTTGTGTGAAAGGCTCAATGAACTACATCTCTGTCATCTCACACGTCACCAAGATGGCCGTCACTACTGTCTTGTCAACAAACGATTGACTATCACCACAATGAAACACGTCCTGAAGAATGTCATGCAAAGCCTGCCTTCCTTTGATTCTCTCTGAACTGCCTGGTCGTTTTAATGTTTAATGTCAACCATTTGTGCAGATAGCATGAAGTAGAAAAGATCGCCGATGCTAACGTTAGCGTTAGCATTTCTCCCCCGGAATTAAATGGTGTATTATAGAATGATCACACCGGTGACAGTACTATTCAAAGGGTTCACGAAATATGACTACTACTCTTACTGTTTAACATTTTGGGTTACTTAATGTTACTTCATGTTAAGGCTAATAAAAATGACAAGGCTGTAATGCTAACTAACGTGCTATCTACTAGCTAGGTAGCTAACTTGATCAAGCCACTCCTGGTCGTTTCATCAGACGGGAAGCAAAAGAACGAGCAAGACCCATTGCTGGTATAATAACAACCTGGTACTAAGCACACAGGCATCTTGTTAAAGTTATCTTATTTTAGCCAGCGCCATATAGATAGATTATATCTATATTGCGCTGATCTTAGGTATCTGAATGGTGGAGGTAAACAATTGTGACATCACTTACGCGACTCTGGGATTTGTAGTCTTTCTAGTTACGTATTTTTCATAGTCTTATATTTCAACAGTTTTACGACAAACTGTGACTTTTTTGACATGGAAATGATTTTTTAAGATTGACAAACATCATATGTGTAATTCATGGCACAATTCAAACGGGATCGAAAGATAAGTTTTCTCTCCCCATTGACTTCAATGCATAACTTTTCCGGAATAAGGTCCCATACCCCGGAAGTAAGTGGGAGGGACTTCGCCACTCTATAGAAACCAGAATTAAGTAACATAAACATACATAGTTGGAAAATCTTTTACCTGTTTTTCTCAGCTGTGTGGAAAGTTGTTGTTTAAGTGTCAGTGTTGACTCTTAACTTTTTGTTTTCCTCCCTCGCCCATGTTTCTTCTCCAGCTGATGACTGCCAGCAGATGTTCCTGCATCCTGTGAATGTACGCTGTCTGTTGCGTGAATACGGCAGCTTGGAGGCCAGTCCGGACTCCATCACTGCCACAGTGGTGGAGATAGTGGGACACCAAGTCACTGAGGTCAGCCACACAAAGAGACACAAAAAACATAATATTCAGATCAGTTTTGGTTTGGCTTTTTTTCGGAAACAGATTTTAAACAAAAAATCTACTGTGACCAGTATTCTGTTGATTTGCTTATGTCGTAACTTTAACTGTTGCAGGATATCCGCCGTCGGCATCGCTACCTGGCTCATCTGCCGCTCACGTGCGAGCACAGCATCTGTGAGTTAGCCCTGGAGCCGCCAACTGTGTCCAAAGAGACTCTAGATACATTTGCAGGTGAGAATACATGTTATGGCTATAGAATTGTTAATTACAGGAAGAAGGTGACATAGAAGGTGACATAGAAGTGTTGATTTTATACATTTTCCTCCCAAACCACTAGATGACTTGGAGAAGAGAAAGCGCCTGAGGCAGAAGAAAGTGAGGGATGAGAAGCGCAGGGAGAAGCGAATTGAAATCGAGGAGAACAAGAAGCAGGGTAAATGTAAGTACAGATGTGCAGGTCACAACTGGAGTCATACTTCCAGAAATATATATAAATAAATTGGAGCGTTATCTGGACCGGTGGCTGTAACTGTATTTGCTCTGTATGTTAAACAGATCCTGAGGTGCATATCGGATTGGAGAACCTTCAACATTTCCCAGCATTCGGGTCTCCTCCTCACAACAGCAGCTTCCTAATGCAGCCTGACTTCTCATTTGCCCCCCCGTCACCCCTCAGCACCAGTCCTTCCTCTGGTAAGAGCGTCTCCTTCCTCTGCAGTGTATTGTTCAGAGCTATACATGTGACCGCTGGCTGTTTATGGCCTATGTTTCAGCAGTATTGTGAGTTAAACATCCCTTTTGTTGTTTTAGATGGGATGAGATTCCCAAGTCTGAATGGACAAAGCTCTTCACCCGTTGTGGGTAGCTTGGAGGATGACTCCAACTGTATGTCCTTTGCACAGGTGTGTATTGAAAATATACAAATACCTAGTTGGCAACATCATTTATTTAGACTGCATTTGTCATATCGGGGAAATGCATCACACATCTGAAGTGCTAATGGTGTAGCACATAATCTAAATAAAGAAAATGCTCCTGTGTCCTGTATAGATGCTCAGAGATGGGAAAGCCAGAGGTGATGCTGGGCCCTGGAACGCTCCAAAGAAAGGTAGATTCACAATTTAGACAGCAAAAGTAGCAAGCTTGCAATACTTGCATCATATGTGTCCTGCAAGTTTAGGTTATTTTAGTGCCATCTCTTGTTAAAATTGATATGTCAATACAAAAGTAGTAGTTGTATTGTTCATTTGTGGACATTACTTTTGTATCAACATTGTAGTACCTTCATATATAAATCTACACAAAGAAATGATCTCGATAGTGGGCTGCAGCATTCTGCCAGAAAATCATTGAAATCATTTAAATAACAGCAACAGAATCAGTCATAGCTGCAACTTGTATATTGTTTTTTTTAAATATGTCAGTGTCATCTTCAAAACTCTGATTTTTGGAATCAATAGAAAACCGTAATTTGGAATCTAACTAGTTTATTTGCTGTCTTTTGTGCAGAGTTAAATGATGAAATGGTAACTTATTTGTTCTTATTCAACAAGCAATGTGCTGTATTTAAGTAGTATATCGTTATTAATATCTGTAACAGTGCTTCACTTTTAAAAGGTCTGTTATACAGCTGTTTAAAACATAAAACACTTAAGATAGCTTTGTTCTTGCCTATGTGCTTGTGTGAGCTGGTACATGTTGCACATACTGACAGGTGTGTGGACGTAGTAACTGGAGCTGAGTTCAGTGCACTGTATTTCCTGTAAAGCCCGTTTTTAGCAGTGTAACTCCCCGAGGGCTTCCTGACATCAGTGTTGTGTTGTTCCATGTAGAGCTGCTCGCCCCCCCGGCAGCAGACAGCGACGGAGAGAGCGACGGGTCAGACCGCGTGCCGGTGCCCAGCTTCCAGAACTCCTTCAGCCAGGCCTTCGAGAAGGCTCTCCTGCAGCTGGACTCTCCTCCACAACATGTGGTCGTCCCAGGTCTGGCATCTATCAATTGACTTTATCCAATAAATAGCCTTTCTACAATTCAAGTATTTGTTTAACACTCACCCTTGGTTGTCTTTCAGATGAGAAAGGAGGAAAGAAGAAGAAGAAAAAGCAGAAACTTCTATTCAGCACATCCATGGTTCACACAAAGTAGACGACACTGAAGTTTATTTAACCATATTTGTCTTGAGTTGATCTTCCTTATGCTTGTTTTCATTTCATACAGATCTTTCTTGGAGCTACTAGCTATTGAAAAAAAGCTTTCAGTACGTAGCTAAAGTTCATGCTGCTTTTAGTTATTCTCTCGTTGTCATCAGTTTAATTTATATACATTTTCCGGTAGGTCAAAGCTTTTCAGCGCCCTCCTTTCACAAAGCAAACTTTTGGGTTACATTTAGGTTCAGATGCTAAGTAAAGGGAGAAATAAAACATTTAAGCTTTACATGGCTTCAGGGTGACTTGCATCACAGTCGTTTCTGTATGATGTCAAACTTTAAGAAGTAGACCCTGAGCATCTAGGTTCCATGAGTTACATTGATGAGATCAATCTGGGTGCTTGATATTACAGTAGCAGTCAGCCAGCTGCAGGTACGGTGCACCTTTTTACAAATCTTTCCAAGATACTCAGTGCTCAGACATTCATTTGGAATTTCCTCTTAGATTAAATGGAAACATACCTCTCAGTGTTTGCTAGTACTTCATCACCATTCAAGGAACAGAGATTTTGGAAGTTGTAACAACAACATGAATACATAAAATACCATTGTGAGGAAGTGAAAACACAGTATTGAAGAGATTAGATCTGTTGGTTCAACAAACAGTTGATACTGTTATATCCTATACTTTCTTCCGTTTTTAGTTTTCTCCTGTCATCTTAAAGGTTTACTCATTTTTTACTTTTATTTCCCTAGCTTGATTTCAGTGTTGAAAAGGTTTGAAGCTAATGAATTGCTGACATCCAACAAATGCTTTGAAGAAAAGTGGATTGAATATGTTTTGGTTTGAGGGTTCTGTAATGAACTTTTTAAGTTTGAGCAAGTTTAAAGGCTAGTGGACATAAGTAGTCTGATGAAATGAATAAACCATTATGCACAATAAAGAAACTGACTGTTTAATGCTGCTCTTAGTGCCAAGGCTAATAAAGGTTCTGGTTTGGTAAGGTCAAAAAATGGAAGTCTCCATCAGGACAGGTGCTTCCATATTTTTGATGCAGTATTTAGTTTTCTCCACATGGGGGCAGTCCTGTACAACCAGTATAATCTTTGTCATAAAGTTATCTCAGCCCCAGGGTCAACGTTTTATATATTAAATGCCTAATTCATACCAAGATGGCATACAAACTAAGCATATGGTTTTTTAAATGTTGCCTTATACTCATTTTTTATATGGTTTAAATTAAGATTATCTTCATTAATTGTTGTTTCTATAAAATATCAGATAAATGTTCATCACACTTTGCAAGTCCAAGATGATGTCTTCTCATCTCTTGCATTGTCAGTCGACAACCCAAAGATGGTCATTTAAATATAATATGAATCGGAAAGTATGAAATCTCATTGGAGAGGCTGGAATCAAGATTTGTTTGCACGAAAAACTTCTTTAACGAGGAATTTATTTATTGTTAAATTGGAAATTATTTTTCTGTGAACGACCAATGGATTAGTGTAGATTTATTGGTGCAGCTCTAATTTAATTATATGAATGATATAGGTATCCTTATTTATATGACAACATGCCTGTTCATTATAACAGGCATTAGCCAACGCTTTATTCTAACTAAGTTCATACATGGTTAGTCAGAAGGTTTGAAGGTAAGGTTTCTCTTGAAAGTGACACATTATTTCTATAGTAGCTGGAAAGGGATCGTTCTCTCCAAATCGCATTATCCAAGCAACAGATGCGTCAAGTTATCCACATTAAGATCCAATTCATCCCGGAAGTCAGTGATTAGCTTTTAAAATACACAAGTTGCACGAGTGATACTGTGGCTATTCACGACGAGACAACAGTTGTGAAACTATTGTACTTAAGTAGAATGTTAAGTACTTGTTCTTTACTGGAGTAATTATATTTCACATCATGTTATACTTCTACTAAATATTGTAGGCTTGACTTGACTACATTATTTTTGATAAACTAGGTTACTACATTAAGTATTCACATGAAACAGTTTAAGTATAGATTAAGCTAAACCGCAGTACAAAAAGCAATTGGAACCATCTCCACCTTATTAAAGTAGTTAACAGTAGTAGTGAATAACACATGAATTCACCGATTTAATAAAATATATTTTAATATCTTATATACAATGGGCCAGTGTGCAGATTAAGTTAATACACTTTTGGGAATTTACATTTTGATGCTCATACTTTTGTTCTATTACTCAAATAAGAAAATGTAAACATAGTTGTTATACACTTTAGTAGGCTATTGTTACGTAAGTAGTGTACTCAAATGTTCTCACAGAGATAAATTGTGACTCCTTTGTTGACAAATATACATTTACATTTGGTGAAATTGAATAGCTGGCAGTAAATATAGTTCTAAAAAAAAGTAAAAGGCTTTCTTTACCAGCTGCAACATCCAAGTAATCAACACATAAATGCATCACAAATTGTAATCCAAATTACCTTTTCAAAATGTTTTTGTTTATCAACACTGCAGTAATGTTGCTTTTACTTGATTAAAGATTCCATAACTTCTTTTATCACTTCTACTCACATTCCTTCCTTGAGATGACATCTGACTCCTTAGTTGTGATAACATCTTTAGTAACATTAAAATACTACTTCGAAAGCGTTTGGCTGCCATACTCAGTTGAGTTTGTTTGTGTTTTATTTCGAAAGGATTAACCGGAACTCTCTTACGTCATGTTTACGTACTTGACTTCTCTTCAGAGGCTAACCACTCGTTGACGCTGTCGGGTGTCAACAACACTGCAACCTGAGACGGGATAGCCAGCCCGTCGGCTAGCTAAGTAAACCAGCTAAAGTTAGCTTCTCCGCTAACCTCTGTATTATCCTACTGTCACGACGACTGGTAATATAATAACTAATCTAAGTAGGAATATATAAATTGTCTTTGAAGTTGTTTCGACGCGAGAAAAGGCAAAACGGAGGACTTTTTCATCCTGGTAAGTTGTCTTTGGTTTCTATCAGACAGCAGTGTTTCCATTTTGCGAGTCTTGAGTTGTTAGCTTACTGTTGCTAGCCAGCAAGCTGTTGATGCAGTTTACCTTTCCTGTGTAATTGGTAGACTGTTTGGACTCTACGTTTGTTCTGACACTTTTTCAGTACTTCTCTACTTCAGGATAGTTGTTATGCTTTAAATGCACCTCTTTTCTGAGCAGGCCAACTCTGTGTTTTGCTAAATGGACCGGGTACTGTGCACGATACGAGGTGTTTTAACGTGAGGTGAGCGCACGGGACAGGAGGAAGAGCTCACACTTGTTGCAGAATGAGAGACAGATTTTAATGGCAATAGCTATTATAGATCTAGTAAAGGTTGTTTATTTAACAGCCACCTATCAACCACCTCCTTAACATAATTGAGATTTCATAGAATAATGATTTTTTTTTTAAAAACACAACGTAATTGATCTGCTTGTATCAGGTTGGACATTTTTAGAGTTTGGAGCATTTCACAGGCACACATTGCATCTTTTGATTAACACATTTACACACATTTAGCTTGCCCCTGTTTGAGACCACTTTATTTCCCTTCCCTTAATCTACTGAATCAAGTCTTTATCAATAGTGATGCATATTACATGCAGCTTTCTTATTTTTGTATTATTAATAGCCCTTAAAAAAGTCGTACGCAAAAGACAATAAATAAATATGCAACGGAAGGCAAGAAGAAGCCATAAAGGCAATACAAAGAAGAACAAAAAGTCATTATCAGTAAAGGAAGTATCACACACATAGATAAGAAAAGTACAAAGAAACGCAATTATTAAAGTGTTAAATAAAATGAAGCAGTCATGTCCTTGACGTCAGAAGACATCTGAGGTTATAAAACATATTTGTGGATTGTTTATTAATCCTTAAATATGTTTTGTCGAGTGAGTGACTGTACTTCCTCTTTAAGCTGCTAATAGATCAGTTGACATTAACTTGCATTGGCTATGTCAGGACATCTGTATAACTGGCTAAACCAGGTTACTGACTTGATATCTTTTGCTGGTAACATTTTGAGCTCGGCTCTCCACTCCTGCTTCCTGCTAGAAATCAAAGACATGTGTCTGACTTGTGCTACACCTACTTCTTAAAGACACACTGCTAAATGTTTTGAGTATTCAACATACAAATCCTGCTTGAAGTTAAGATATTGGACTTGTTGCCTTTTATAGCTTCAGTAATTCGTCTTGTGAGGAATACTCGTATGTCTTATGTTATAAAAGGCGGACACTTTCCTAATCCCTGCTGTGCTGCGCAACCCACCATCAGACACAGTGAATGTTTAACATTCCATCTTTGCAAAGCATTTCCTGCCAACATCTACTTATCAACTTATTATTTTTGTTAGGCAAGCAAAAGTCAGTTTTTTTTCCTGTATAATTCTCCATTTTTTACGCATTGAATATAGGGTACAAATGTTGTTATCACTGCTTAAGTGGATGAAACTTATCAGCAGGAGAGGAAATGAGCAGCGACCATCTGCCAAGTATAGGTTGCCTGTGGCAGGAAAAGATGTCAGATCACCTGCCAACATGGTGGATTGAGTTTCCTTAGAATAAATACATATCATTTCTGGTCCCAAATAAAACATAGCTATGGATAAAGGTTGCATAACATTTATTTCAGTGACCTAGCACAGTGGTCCATAAGGCCCATTTGAGACCTATTAAACAGTATAACTTATAAGTTGATGTATGTAAAAAAAGAGCAGGCATAAACCAATGGCTCGCATATAAATTGGCAGTTCCCATTACAGTATTATAGCAACATTCACAGATTGAATTGACATATATATTTAGCAGTGAGTGATGGCAGGCCGGCAGTGATAGAAGCCATAATGCAAATAGAAGAAGATGAAAAGGTAAACATATAGCAGCATTCAGATAATGACTTTCTTCATGCACTTTGTTGTTATGTTTGTCTGGGCATAAGCCATCAGCTCGAAATGTAAGGGTGTGACTATATTTACAGTGTCTGAGTAAACATTATCATCAATTTGCTTCTGTGTGGAGGCGTGACAACACCACAGTATTTGGACAACCCTGTAGCTGCTCTGCTGTGATTTCTCTTCCACAGCCTGAATCACAGCAGTCTTGATGAGTTAAAGCTTGTTTACACAAAGTGTGTTCCTCTTAGGCTCCTTCATCTCCTGTGATATGACATCGCTGGCTGGTTACTACAAAAGTCAGAGCTCGACAGCAGACGGTTGACATCTGGTCAGGTAAGATATTTACTGGGGTCTACCTCGCAGCAGCTGGATCCAGCAACCAACTGTTGCTGGTCTGCTCAGCAACATGTGGAAAAGCATTACCATTTGTGAAGGGGTTTCTAAAGGGCTCACACATAAGTGCTTGTTTTCTATCTTTGTTTTCACTATGGAAACAAATGATACAACTGATTGTCGTAGTGTGTTAAAAGAGTCAGGATTTCAAGATATGTCTTATTTGACTACTCCGTCTTTGACATTGTAGAGTCAGTGTAAAACAAACATTTGAAAGTTCATTAGGGGAGGAGCTGAGAGGCAGTCTGGTGTGAGTTTCAGTGGAATCCACCATTCACTGTCGGAGCCTGATTTGCCTGTGTTACAACAACATGAAAATGAAAACAATGACATTGTACAGTTGTCCGGCCCCTCCCATGTCTCAGGATCTGCCTTAAAGCTACACAGACCTGCTCACTACTTAGGCTAAAACATCTACCATATTAAGACATCACATAGCTATTTTTAAATATTGAGAAACAAGACAAATTGAGTGCATCCTGCATTAAAACATTTCCTGGAAGAATAAACAAAGTATGTAGCCAAACAAATATAGTGTATGTAAAACTAAAGGAACAAATTCAAATAGCCGTCACAGCCGAAACGTATGATTATGAAAAAGGTGCTGGAACAAAAGTATTCTTTCATAACAATATGTTGGTAAAGAAAAAGCACAGGTGTAATTAATTAACAGTAATGATTCTCCTGAGCTGTCGTTAATGTTATTAAGTCCAGCTGTTCTCTTTCTGCTATGATAAGTCCAAATGTCTGATGTCTGTTCTAAAGGAAATCATAGGTTATTGATTGATTAATGAATCACAATTGTGAATTGAAAGACTTCCAGTGAGCACTTCCTGGATGTCGTGTTGAGTCTACAGAGTTTCATTTAATTTTGTGTAAAGCATTTCATTTTATTACTTTGTGTTGTGCTTTTCTACTGTGACTGGTCAGGTCTATCAATGTGAATATGGAGGACAAAAAAAGTAATTGATTAATTATATCACCCCATATTTAGCTCACACGTGTACTATAACCTGCATTAAAGTGAGATAACCTTGTGTAAATATCTTTCTCACTCATGTGTATAGTTGTGTCGCTTTAAGACACTCCCGAGACAAAGTCCACAGTAATGGCTAGATAGTGTGAGTGCTTTGAAGCTAATAATACAAATCAGCAGAAATCAGTTTTGTTGTGCTGTTAGACTTTTTTTCTTTTGCATTTTGAAGGTGCTGTTGACGATGATGGCTGCTCAGGTGGAGGTTCAGACTGGGGAAGTAGGGAGGACGGTGGGTGGAGGACGACTCCACCTGAGTCCCCTTACTGACTCCAGCAATAAGAGTCTCATTGAGATCACTTCCATCAACCAGTCCCATATCATCCCTCCTGAACCTAACAAGCCTGCCCCGAGTCCCAAGCCACGGCTCACTCCTAAACCTTTCACCCTGGAGAGGAACCCCACCATTAAGCCCATACTTGCTCCAAAGCCCCAAGCCAGGCCCCGGCCAGAGTCCACTCGCCTGGCTGGGCACAAATCAGAGCTTCCAAGCAGTGCAAAACCACAGCAACCAGTTGCCCCTAGCAAACCCAGGCCAGTGTCAACCAACCTCAACCGACCCGCCTCTACCTTCTTTAAAACATCTAATAAGTTGAACAGTGGACAAACAACCAAGCCAATAGTCCAGCCATTTAAACCGGCTCCTCCTCTTGACCCTGGAGATCCGAGCAAACCCTTTCTTCCTATAACAGCAGAGAGAGAGAATGTGAGAGAGAGGCGCAAATCCAGTTCGTCAAGCTTGGCCTATTCCAAGAGCCTTAAACAACTTCCAGCTGCAGAGTGGTCTGGAACCACTAAAAATGAAAATGCAAAGGACTGGAAGCCATCCAGTGAAGGTGGGTCCTCCATTACCAGAGCCAAGTCCATGGGTTTTCTCATTCAGGTAGGGCAGGAGGAGGAAGAAAAAGAAAAAGCTAAGCCAGAGAAAGCAGTGCAAATGCGACCGCAGCCCCGAGGCTCCAGGCCCAGACCTGTGTCGGCCCTTTTCCTTGACAGTCCAACCGAGACGGAGACACCAGCTCCTGCCCCTCGCTGGGCAAGAAGACCGCTCTCAGCCGATCTAACATCCAAGTTTGAGTCTATCGGTCTGTCTTTGCACCGTAAATCTCCCAAAGCAAACACTAAGGAAAACACTCCAGAGGAGAAGCCACTGCCGCAGAAGAGAGAGCAGGAGAAACCCCCGAAGAGCCCCCCACCACACAGTACTGATGGTGTAGATCAGCCTGCTGTTTTAGACCAAAGCAATAAAAAGACAGAAGAAATGACTGTGAAAGAGACTGATGAGGAGAAGCGTGCAGTTAGCATCAAGTCGAGAATCAGTCTCCTCCTCGATTCGTCCTCCTCTCCTGGGCCAGGTGTCACAGGCCAAGAGTCAGATCCTCTCTCTCCGGTGCTGACAGTCCCTGAAACTGAACCAGCAGTGGGGGTCAAACGGCTCATCAAGCAGCTGACGGAGGACACAACACCGACTCAGAGCCCCACTGTGAAACCACCTCCGAGGCCCCGCCCCTTGCCCCTTGACCTCACTAACAGGTAAGAGCTGCTCCTATTTTCTCTTCAGCATGCTTTTGTCCCATGTCTTTGTCCTCGAGTTCCATTGTCATGCATGGCTTTTTGTCTCGTGTGATGTATGTTCATCAGGTTTTCATCCGAGAAGTCGCCAGACATTGGCAGTGTTTCCCCCAGTGAGGCGACAGAGCGCCATGAGATCAGCAGAGATCCTCAGAGGAGGGTAAGAAAAGGGACTAAGCTTCGTAGAAACTCGTTTCTGTCGGGGTCGGTCTGTGTTTAACCGGGCAAATGTGAATGAGAAACAATCTCCCAGCTAAGTGCTGCCACATTCTCTCCTGAAAACATGTCATCTCTTTGCCAAAATAAATCCAACAACCAAGGCCAATAGAAAGTAGATTGAACAAGATAGAAGTTTCCATAATAAGCCATATGGTGTGCCATTTACTATTGGCATGGTTTGGTAGTACATGGGGAAATGGCTTTTTACGTTTGAATATCAGATCATTCTGGCTGTGTTAACGCATATAACCTAAGTTTTGGCAGTGGTGTTTGTTTTGTTCAACCTCATCTCCTATAACCTGTCTTTGATAAACTGTATAGTAAAAATACAGCCACTCACACCCTTAAGCAGAAGAATGTCCCCATTTAAACCGTTCAAACAAAGACTTGCAATCATGCATTCATTGAATCTAGAGTTTGGCTTCAAAATTATATTTTATTTACTATTTTAAATGTATTTTGTTCTGAATTTTCCACTTCAGATATCGCTGCTCTTTATGTGTTTGACGCAAAGCATGACAATCAATGTTGTTTCTCATTTTTAACATATCCCAGATGGTAAAATAATATTCCCTATAAGATTTGGTGTACAATAAATAATTCAAATGTTGAGTTCTAACTGGCATTTAAAGGGTTCAAAGTTAATTAAAGTTTGTTAAAAGTAGATTGAAGTTGGTTAGAATATTCAAAATGGTTCAAATGTAGAGAAATATATGTAATTGTATGAACATTTATAGACAGAGACTTTCTTAGTAACTTTTAAAATCGAGACACACGGGTTAATACAAGTGTTTACATTTGCTGTTGACCCCTTGTCTCTCTGTTAAAAAGACAAAATCCCAAGAGGGAATGGGACATTGCAGAAAAATAATTGTCACTGCCATGATTCAAAGCTGTGTAACCTGAGACAGCCGGCACATGAATCATCCCCTGTGGCTGCCTGTTATGAAACACACAGAGAGGAGATCAGTGGGAAAAGGTCAACACGGATAGGCTTTCATTACCACCTCTGCACCACACCCACTGTTATGAGGCCAACATAGAACACGGGGATATCGCTTGGACCCTGACAGTTGTTATCTTAATAAGTTACTAATTTAAGGACTCGGTTTTCTCATAATGTCATTAATTTGTTTTTAATTATTATTTCTGTCAGGTGTTTCCATATTTGTTCTAACAGTGTTTACATTTGGAAGAAGTTTGAAAGGAAAAAGCATGATTCTTAAATGCAAACAAGTGACCATTTTGCTAATATACTTTATTAATTGACATGATATCTCTGACTTTCCTTAGATTGAAGAGTCAGCAATCACCCCCAGTGACCAGAAGACGTTTGAGGACCTAAAGGACTCAGAGGAGCAGCTTAGAAAGCCCCCCGTGCCTGGTCCCGGCGGTGACGTGCAGACAGTCAGAGCATCCTTGTTTGAAAATGTTGTGGAGAGGCACAGTGTGTTCATGGTGGAGGAAGACAAGCCTGTAAACAAGGCTGATGATTCGCTCAGCAGCCCGTCGTTTCAGAGAGGAAATGCTGAAGATGAAGGAACTCTGGTGAATGCCACTTACAGGGAGCCTTTATCCCCATCAAGTCCTATGAGGGTGTTGCACGCCTTTGACACGGTGCAGGCAGTGGAAGAGAGCAGGGTGGTGAGTGAGAACATCCCATCAGCTCTTTGGGAGGATAAGGCCATGACGCTTCGCTCCAGGCGCTCGGAGGGGAACAGGCCCGGGCCAGAGAGCACAGCACAAGGTGAACCAGCTGTGGCTGAGATGCAGGAACAACAGCCTCGATATCTGAGGATCGGAGCTTTGAATAAATGGAGCGCTACAGGTCTCGAACAAGAGGCGAGTACAGAGATTGGGATGCCAAATAAATCACAAAGGGAAGGACATGTGGCTTTGGATCAGGACACACAGAAAGAGGCAGAACAGGAGGAAGTGGCTGCAGCTCCTAAACGTATGAAAACAGAAGAACAGCCAAAGCCCAGGGCAACCTACTTTGCTCTGACGGGACAATTACAGGAGCCATCTTCTCCTGTAGACGTATATTTAGGTGACATGACTGTGCCGCTTGATGATTTCTCTGTGCGGTCTTCACCTGGCAGCTCTCAAGGAAAGGTTAATCAGATGAGAAGGAATCCTTCATTAGATGCAGCTATGGTAAACTCTCAAGATCAAGGTGACGACTTGAAGATGAGGAGCCACATGTCGCACAGGGAGATCAGAACAGCGTACGATGGAGAGATGGCGGATGACATTATGGAAGTTGAAAACAAAAGAGAATTAAAAAAGGAGACGGAAAGACACATGGCAAAAATGAAAGAACTTGAGAGGGAAAGACAGAGACGTCTGGAAATGGAGAAAGAAGCACATTTAGAATTTGCACGATTGAAGGAGAGAGAAATGCAAAGAGAATTTGAAAGGCAAAGACAGAAAGCCTACGAGAAGGAGATTCGGGACTTCGAGGAGAAACAACGTCAACTGGAAAGGCAAAACCAGTTAGAGCTTGAACAGAAAGAAAAGCTGCAAGAAGTGGAGAGCGCGAGACTAAGGGAACTGGAAAAAGAAAGACAACGGAAACATGAGAAGGAAAAACGGCGTGAATTAGAGAGACAGGAAAGGCTTGAAAGGGAGAAACTGCGAGAGCAGGAAAGAGAGAGGCAACGTGAACAAGAGATGCAAAGACAAAAGGAGGAAGAGAGGCAGAGAGAGCTGCTGGAAATCCAAAAGGAGAAACAACAAACGGAGGAGCTGGAGAGAATCAAGGAGCAGGAGACACTGCAGCTCTTAGAGTTTGAAAAGCTGAAGCGAAGGGAAAGGGAGAGGCAGCTGGTATTGGAGACGGAGAAGCAGAGACTTAGAGAGAAGATGGATAGAGAAAAGGCAGAGAAACTAAAACAGATGGCTTTAGAACAGGAGATGTTAAGAATGAAAGAGCTTGAGAGAGACAGGGAACGACAATGGGAGATGGAGAGGGAGCTTCAGAAAGAGATGGAGAGGGAAAAGCAGAGAGAGGCGGAGAGGCAGAGACAAAGAGATTTAGAAAGGGAGAGACAAAGACAACTCGATTCTGAGAGGCAGGAGTTAGAAAACCAAAGGCTGAGACAACGGGAAATGGAGAAGGAAAGGCTGAGGAAGGAGGAGATGGAGAGAAGACAGCTCATGGAGTTGGAGAAGGAAAGGCTGAGGAAGGAGGAGATGGAGAGATTTAAAGAGATGGAGAGAAGACAGCTCATGGAGTTGGAGAAGCGAAAGCAGGCAGAGAGGGGCAGACAACAGATTATAGAGATGGAGAAACGCAGACTGAGGGAGAGGATGGAGGGGATGGAGAGGGACGAGGCAGAGAAAATGAGACAGACAGCCAAACAGCAAGAAGCAGAGAGGCAGCGACTAAAGGAGAGACAGAAGAAAGAGGAACAGGAGAGGGGGAGGTTGGAGTCTTCACATCTCAGACCTAAAGTGTTGGATCTGGACTCTGTGCGGAGGAATGACTCCTTTTCTAAGGCATCTCCGCAGCGCAGTGACCTCGCAACACGATGGAAGGAGCCATCCCCGAGAGCAGAAGAGTCTTACAGATCTGCCATCCTTGACATAGACTCTTTCACGTCCCCAGCTCTAGTTTCCCCCAGTACTGTTTCTGGTATTCAGGGTGTAGACGCTGCATTTGGAGCTAGGTTGCAGCCTACACCTGATGTAGATGTTAGCTGGAGGGGGCCACCACAGGCTTCCGGAGGTATAACGAGTCCAATATGGACGACGTCTCCTCAGGACCCGTGGGAGCTGCGGCCTGTTGAGATGTCTGTGGACAAACCTGAACCCAGAAAGCACGTCAACAAACTGAGTCCAGAGCAGCTCCTCCTCAGGCAGGAGGAGCGGCTCCTGGCCCCACAGAGGAACAGGTCTGCGGGGCAGGAGGAGCCGCTTCACCTGGCCTCTCTCTCCCGGACAGCGTCCAGGAGTGGAGGCTCTCCAGGCAGAGGCCCTCCAGGCGGGGGTCCTCCAGTCGGGGGCCCTCCAGACGGGGGCCCCAGCAGCGCTCCTGCAGAGCAGATCTGGCTGCCCAGACAGCCCCAGCCTCCAAGCGGCCAGGTGGACGTCTGCGTCCACAGGAGATCACAGGGATCGCAGGTAAGATAGCAATGAAATACTATCAGAGGCAAGGATTACTCATTTCTTATGGAAAATAGTTTTAATTTTGATATAACGGAAGTTCAACTATTTTGGGGGATATTGTTTTTCACCCACTGTTTAAAATACCTGGCACTAAATCTAAATCTAAAGTACAAGTTACTTAGCATTTTTTTTTTTTGTGTGTGCCTGTCAGAAAATCAGCAGCGGCCTTTTAAAGTAGGGTAAGCCTATACATATATATATATATAAAGGGAGACCTGTGCGTCACTTGAAGCAGAACAGAATTCTTTTATCCACCCATATTTGCTCTCTCTCTGCTTCGAAAAAAAGGTTTGTTTCCTGAGCGAAAGGAAGGATCGGCTTTTCAACACACTCATTGATGATATCACTATCGGGCATCCCTATAACACAAATAGCCACCAATGCTAATTAGATAGAAAATCTAAAGAAAACCGTGGTCTTTCCCTGCAGGTTTATTAGGATTATGTTCAAATGCCTGATTCAATACAGTGATGACTTCTAGGATTCAAGGCTTTTATTGTCATATGTACATAGCTACAGTGTAGTTATGACAATGAAATGCTTAGGTCACAGGCTCCTCCAACAGTGCAACACAATACAACAGATAATAGTGATGTTTATTGAGTGTGTAGCCTACATTTGTGTACTAAATCTACTTTTAAAACGTCATAAATGGAAATGGTTTCTACCCACTTGTGAAGTGACCATGGTTCCCAACAAAGCCACCTGCCACAAAACACTGCAGCACCCAGCATGGTTATGAATAGCTTTCAGGAAACATGTGTACAGTGTATGAAGATATGAAGTTGACTGCGGTTCCTGTTTATGTGCTAGGAGTTGAACAGGATGCGGTCTCGCAGTGTTTCTCGGCGATCAGCTCCTTCAATCAGCGCTGTGGAGGGAAGTCTTTCCAGGATGAGGAGTCGCAGCGCACACCGAGAGCTGGAGGACAAAGACTGGGTGAGTCCTGCGCCTCAAACAGCTCAACTCGCTGAGAGGAGAGACCGCTGTCTGAGTCTCTGCTTCAGAGCGATGGTTGGATGTGAGCTCTTTATTATAATCACTGTTTTCACACGGCTCTGTGGAGACAGCGAAGGAAGTGTGTGTGTACTTGAGTTTGTACTGGATAATTGTCTTAAGTGTCAGTAGGTTGCTTTAGAAGTGTACTTTTCATTTAGTTAGTTTTCCAGAGGAACAATACTTTGGTGACAAGTCGATGCCAACATTTCGAAAAATATGGCGGTAATCGTTATTTCCTATAGAATTTTGGGTACCATAGTGAGCCTTAACACCGTTTGGGATTGAGAGTAACTGTTTCCCATAGTGCCATGGACGATATAGAAAACGTGTTGACTCAGAGTTAATGCTCTGTAAATACCTTATTCTTATGAGCTAGAGAGTTAGTTAACAGTAGATCTTACCAGCCGGTGGAGCAAGGTTCTATAGAGCTGCAGGATGGTGAATGCATGCTCTACTCGGTAAAAAGAAAATTGGGTTAGGGTAAATAATAACGTTATCAGGATGTGTTCAAGTATAGTCTTGTTAAATTCAGCGTTTCCAGGAACTTAAATAAATACTGTTTTCAAATCAAAATAAAAGAGATATCGGGAAGGGAAATAAATAACCTGTTTAACTTCCTAACAAAACATAGTGTAAACGGTTAGAAAGGAGTATATACTGTATTTTGAGGAACACGATTGGTAACGAATAAACCTTTAACACAAATGTCCTTAAAAGTCCTAAACTTGAACTTTTATTAAAATGTAGTTATTTTAGCTTGAATTCAAACAGAGCAACAATATTCATGTTGTATTCTATTTGATCTTTTTACAGAAAATAATATGTTTGGATGTAAAACCTTTGTAAATTGATAAGATGAGATAAACTTGTTTTTTTCAAAAATCTTTTTATTTGTTTTTTTGCAGACATAACAACTTCAACACATTGAATGTAGTACAAAACAATTTGTCTGTTTAAGGAAAGAAAGATTAGATAATATTTGAATGGTCCTGTAAAGGGGACATTTGAGTGTTACAGCAGCAAAGGGACAGTGCAAACATGAAGTACTAAAGTAAAATAAATAAGTTTAATGGTAAAAAAATAAATAAATTGGAAGGACTGAATTTTGATTTTAAATCATTGCACATTATCACCAACATTATTATTAGTAACTGATTAAAACATTTTATTAGATATTTAATTATTTTTCATGCTACTTGTTATTTTCCAGAACCATTATGTATTGAAGGTGGAAGAATGCAGGTAGATGCGTGACAGCTGAGTGCTGCTGTGCCTACATAGTTTAGAGTTGTGACTAATGTTGATGGCACACCTCCACCCATCCCAGGCCTGTAATTCAGGATTGGATTAGCCAAATGGTTAATGAGTACCTGTCCTCAGTGCTCGCTTGTCAGAGGCTTGTCAGCAGGCTCAGGGAAAGCTGTGAAGTGAAATGGCTTGTAATGATCAAGGGCCACGCAGATAAGCAGACATGTCATATATGTGTCACAGTAATCCTTGGAGCTGATTTTCCTCATATCCGTTTTTTCTAACTTTTGACTTTGTAGTTTACATCTGTTTCTTATATTTTTAAATCATGGAAAATGTGTCTTCATATTTGCACCAACAAACTTTACATACACCAATATATCATCTGTTCAATCATGAATAGAATCTATAAATATCTAGGGTTGGGCTCGGCTGGCTCTTTGTCATTGAGACTGTAATTGTAGGCCCAGGTTGAGGGCATACAATATGAAACCAGAAGTATAGTTTATTGTGTCTCATAATCAGTGGCGGCGCCAGGGTATGGCTGGGGTAGGCTACAGCCATACCAAGAAATGGCTCAGCCCCACCTTAGCCCCACCATGAAAAATGATGCAAATTCAATTAAATAATAAGCAAAATGCTAAATGTTGAGAACACGGATTGCGAAAATATATGGGTCGTGTCCACAGCAAACAAACTGATCCTGCTGTAACAACAAGTGCACGTTACTGATGCAATATGGTTGAGACCATTCGGGCTTATGCTAGAAGAGGGGTGCAAGGAATAGTCTAAGTAGTGGGGGAGTTGTATACACTAAAGGTGTGGAAATTCTCTGGCGTTATAATATCAGTGCGGCCGCGGTCAGATCAAAATGCTTCCGAATGCAATTTGAATAGACCTACAGCCAATCAGAGCAACGAAACGTTGGGTCTGCGTCATGCATTACTGATTGAGATCAGTCGAAACCGCCATTCAGTATCCCCATTGGATCTTCAACGTGTACTATCATACGTCACGTTCACAGTGATCCCTTTTTATTTACTACAAGACAAATGTGCCGTTTTATTTCATACAGTTCCATTTGGATTGAGACAGGGCAATAATCTAAACCTCACGCGTGGCGTTTCACTGTCAAGGGGGGCGATATAGCGTGTATGTAATTACATTGCAAATACTGACTTGAGCCCCACCACTGTATGGGTTAGCCCTACCATAGATTACCCAACACAAATGCTCTGGCACCGCCACTGCTCATAATTGCACACTGCGTGACAAAGAGCTCAGATTCAGTCACTGTGAGTTAAAGGTCACTACCACCATCTAGTGGCTGTTTTTCAGCCTCACCTGGTGTCAGTGCGAGTTGTTCCTCATTCCTGTCTGCTGTTCTTGTGTTCTTTGTTTATCTGCTATGCTTTGAAAGGAGGCAAAACAATATGTACTGTACATATTCACAGACTTTGGTGGTAGAATGGTTATGGCACACGCTAGGGCTGCACAATTTTGGGGAAAAAATCGAATTGCGAATTTTCTGACAAATATTGCGATTGCGATTCGATTTGCGATATTTGTTTTTAAGCGACCCAACGGAAGACTATTGTAAAATGTGGCCATATCTCCGGCTAGGAAGGTTGCATCAACATGCTCCCGTCTCTAGCACCCCCGCAGCCCGAGCTACGAGTGAAAGAACTAAACTTACATGAAACTTCCTTTGGGTTGCTTTAAAGTCAAGCTTCAGTTTAAGATTCACCCTGTAATAGATGTAAAACATGTGATGGAGCATTACTAACCTGACTCAGATGGTTTGTTGAACCAAACCATCTAGGAAAGCTCCATTTAGGAAGCCATTTGGAAAGGGCAGGCACTTTCAAAAATACTTGGCAGGTGATTGGATCAATCTGTCTATCACCTTCTATCATGGGCCACTTCTGATTGGTTAAAGGTGGGGTAGGTAAGTTTGAGAAACCGACTCGAGTGCACTAGAATTTGAAAATACACAACCGGAGAAAATCTGCCACTTCCTTATAGAGCCCCTCCTCCAACACACACGAACGCGCACATGACCAATGAGGGCACGAGATAAGTTTGTGCACAGATGGAAGGCTGACAGGCAGGTAGGCCATCCAGTTATTTTAGCCAGGCCGGCTAAAATGATTGGTCGTGCTTTTTACAGTACTACGGCTTCCACAGATGAGGACTTAAAATATTCATTGCTATCGGGATGTTAAGAGCATTCCATGGAATATAACAAAAAGTGTATCTCGAGCCGGTTTCTCAAACTTACCTACCCTACCTTTAACAATGGCTGGTACATGTGGAGCACAGCACTTCTGATTGGTGTGGATGACTGACACGCAAGAAAAAAAAAAAAAATGTTAAAAAAAAATCGCAGGCTTTGCGATTTGATAATCGCATAATTTAAAATCGCGATTTCGATTTAAAATCGATTAATCGTTCAGCCCTAGCGCACGCCACATAACTCCACGTCCCGGTTTGTTTCTAACCATGGGACTTTAGTTGTGATTTAGATGTGTTACATGAGACTCTGTCAGTTCCTGTTTCCAGTCTGCCACTATACACTTCATCCATCAAGTAAAGACAAAAAATGCTTAAAAATAAATCTGTATGACACTGTGTAGTCGGTGTAATAAAAAAAAAAAATTTCACATAAATAAATGTCATTTGAACTACCGATGACAGCTGTGGCGTTGATGCATTGTGTTTTAGGGTTGTCTGTCTGTGTGTTATCGTGAACACGGTATCCTGGATTGCCTTGAGGGGATTTCTTCAAATTTGGCACCAGAGTCAATTTTCGACTCAAATATGCACTGATTATCATTAATCATTATCATTATCAATCATTATTCACCCAAACCAGAGGTGCAGTCCAAAACCCAAACCTATTCAGTTTTAATGTACAAAACAAAATGAAAAGCTACAAACAAGCGATAAAGGTAGAACCAAAACACTTGACTTAAACCATTAACCCTCTGAAAATAATAATTGAAGATTAATTTCATGTTGATCGACTAGCTATAGTCATTGTTTCATCTTAGAGTGACAATACTTCTAGGATAGTAGCAGGTAATTATAAATATTTTATTTAGTTTTTTAGATATAGGTTTCTGCTGAACCGTAAAATAATAAACATCTTTATTTGGCTTCGGGTTTAATTTAGAAATAAATCAGCGTTGACAGATATACAATATTATAAATTCCCCTACGTTGAGTTTACTGGTGATCTCACACGGATGAGGTCATATTTATGAGGTGACCTCATAGTTTTAGTGCGAGGGTCTGAGGCTGTGGAGAGGGGCAGAGCAGCGATGGGCACCGGGCTGAGAGCTGTGCTGTACGTGTGGTCCTGCTGCCTGCCTCCACACTGCTTCTGGGTGAGTGACTTCTCTCATTTCAGATGTTTCTCTGTAAGATTATATTATATAATATAGGAAGTTATCATATATCATATGAATTATTGGCTGTATCCGATTTCAGCTTCTTTGTGTTGTTGCTGGTTGGGTTTCTGCGCACAGATTGGTGATGTCAGCCGAAAGGGGGAAGTGATGAGCAGCCATGACTCACTTCCCAGTCAGTGACGCTCAGTAATAGGAGGGGGAATAGTATAGAAATGGGAGCAGTAGTAAGATGAAATTAATACCCTCAGATTTTCTAGCTTACTGTAATGGTACAAAAGT